AGTATATAAAATAAAGGTTGAACTTTCGAATTTTTTTTGTCTTACCTTCACCCGATTCGTATTCGTGGCCCCCGATCTATTCTTGTGACAGCAAATCTTTACTTTAATAAGACTTTAATATGACGAGATGATATTCAAAAATCAACCAATCATAATAAAGCCCGCTATGCTGCTTATACGTACACGCATATTTCTATCAAAGGTTTTTCGTGGCCCAGGAACCTGACGCCATGGATGGACAACTGTTCCCCACTTTTGATATATTCGCAAAATTTTATTAACCAATGATTTACTCACATACAGAGTAGATGCAATTTCTTCTTTCGAATAACCATCATGGCACAAATAAATTATGCGCCATTTGAGGTCTTTACTGTAGGGATGTGGCATTATTACGATTCAGGAAAAGATAATTGGCCTTATATCAGAGATAGAGAGATAAATTTAGAGCAGATAAAAAGGCAGGTTAAATTTCTTTTAACCAAAAAAAGAGAATTTATCAAAGGATACAACAATACAATTGCGATTACTAATGGATATGTAATAATGATCGAATTTACAACAATACTGCAATATGCATTATTATTTTAAGGGATATTTATTTATTTATACGTATATTATATATAGTATGCTTTTTATTCGATTTTCATACACTTATATACATTTTAAATACCGCATAAAAATAAAAATTTCGCTTAATATTTATAAAAAAAAAAATTAAAAAAGAAACTTGGAAATTTTTATATTTTTTAGATAAAAAGTTACAAGATTTAGTATACTAATGGATATTATACCAATAAATCGAGATTTAGCTAGAAATCTTTGGAATTGTTACTCATTAAGTGGCAATTTGTAAAAAATTAAAAATTTAAAAGAATTTTGCAGATTTTTGTGCGATGCATAAAATTCGCCGATCACAGTAATTTGCAAAGCACAATAAATAAAAATTGTTCCTGGGCCAATTTTATCATAATGCGGTTTATTTTTTAAGAATTTCTATTTTTGTAATAAAAAAATTAAAGTTAATTCCAGCCGGAAATTAACCAATTTTGTAATGTGGGCCAAAATTTCGAAGATCCTCGGCCGTTAGCCAATCAAAATCGAGGATCTGCCGGTC